CAGCTGCAGTGGTTCACTTAACAACAGAGCCAAACAAGGTAATAAAACCAGGTACAGTAATTAACAATATCCTTGCTTAGCAACAGGAATTCTGCTCCCGGTTGTGATTGTGCATTTTGCTTTTATGGGTTTCTAAGAGAAGGATATGGGTGTGACGAGGAGTATCTGAACATCTGCCTAAATCAGGGGTAGGCAACCTTGGCTCTTTTATGACTCGTGGACCACAACTCCCAGAATTCCTAAGCCAGCATGGCTCAGCTTGGAAACCTCTCCCTTTCCCCTCAGCATGGCTGGCTGAGGAATTCTGGGAGTTGAAGTCCACGAGTCATAAAAGAGCCAGGGTTGCCTACCCCTGGCCTAAATAAAAAGAGAAAGTAGAACAGTTGTCTTGTTGGGACTGATTCAATTGGTTATTTTATCTCGTAGGCCTTGTATTTGATAGCTACCAACGGGACACCAGAACTCCAGAATCCCGAAAGACTTTCTGTTGTTTTCCGGGATTTTTTGAACCGCTGCCTTGAGATGGATGTTGACAGGCGAGGGTCTGCGAAGGAACTCTTACAGGTAAATAAAGACAAAATCTTCCTCTCTTTTTTGATGAAGCACAGCTCTTCTGGAGATTCTCTCTGAGAGCGCAGCACGACAAGACAAGCTACTCATACATTTTGCCCCTTTGTATGGTTACTCAGATTTGATACACCAGGGGTCCCATGGAGAAAGGGGGAAAGATTAAAAAGCCAAGGCAACTTGGTTGCAATGGCCATCTTGATTTTTTTTTCTTCATGCCCTTGCATCATTGGTTTTATGTGGGGACCCGGACAGAGGAAGTCAATTGCCCTGAGTTTGGAAAAATATGGGAACTGGATGGATGAGGCTGTCAGAGGAGCTAAGTCATGTTTGCCTTCCAGCTTGATTTGTTTTAAATTTAATTTGCAAATCGATCTCCTATCAATTTGATTTGAGCTTTTGTTACAAGGGTGCGTAGACCGTGCATAAATGTCCATTCAACCTCCACACTTTTAAAGGTACCTCTTTCAGTTTGACATCTCCAGTCAATTTATGGATGCATGAGATCTCTTTGAAGGGCTGATTTGATCACCTTTGAATCTAATCCAACTGGGGCCCAGCTCTACGTTGTATACGTCTCTGGGTGTGATTTGCATCAGATGGACCCTTCCTTCCAAAATCCCTCTTGCATGCTAGGGAGAAAAAGCATACATCTGAATACCCCTAGATCAGACATGTCAAACACAAGGCCCGGGGGCTGGATGTGGCCCGCGAAGTGGTTTCATGTGGCCCGCGAAGCCATCCTGGAAACAGTGAGGGAACGGCCCCCGCTGCCTTGGTCCTGGCCCAGGCCGGCCGGGAGCCAATGTGCAATTTTGTGGTGGCCACCTATGCTGAAACGCATTCGGTCTTAGCTCCATAAGCCCCCCCCCCGCATGGCCTGAGAGGAACAGTGAGGCTCCTCCAGTGGACCATGCCTTGGTACTTGCCCTGGTCCCACCCCCTTCTGCCAGAGACCCTCAGATCTGTCCCACTCCTGCCCAGGCCCCCACAGGCACCCTTGATGCGAATGATGTAGAGCTGGTCACGCCCACCCAGTAGGCCACACCCACTCCATCCACGCCCACCCAGTAGACCGCACCCACCCTGGCCACACACCCCTGCCCCCCCGAGGGCAACCGCAATGCTGATGCGGCCCTCAATGAAATTGAGTTTGACACCCCTGCTCTAGATCCATTCTTCTTGACTGGTTTCCCAACTGTTAGCAGTACCAATAGCACTTAGACCAGTGATGGCGAACCTTTTAGAGACCGAGTGCCCAAACTGCAACCCAAAACCCACTTATGCATCGTTGAGTGCCGGGTGGGTGTGGTCCATTGGCTGGGCGTGGCCCATTGGCTGGGCGTCGCTGCGGTGGTAATGGCAGACTGGGTGGGACTAAAAAGTTCAATCAATCAATTCCAACTTTGCAAGATCTTTTTTTTTTCCGCGAGAAGTTGGAATTGACTGAACCTTTTTTTTTTTTGCACACGTTGGCGGAGGCCTAAAGCGAAAAGGTTTTATAAAACCCAGCTGAAGGCCTGGGACTGGGGCAACGGCGCGGTTGCCCACAGAGAGGGCTCTGAGTGCCACCTCTGGCACCCGTGCCATAGGTTCGCCACCACTGGCTTAGACTTATATACCGCTTTCTAGTGAGAACGAGTCTTTCTTTCTGATGCAATGCTAGCTCACCCTCGTGGGGTGCACCTCAGGAAGCGCACTAGCCTACACAAAAACAGAGCTAGTAAACTGGCAGCCAAACTACTACAGCCAATCCTCAACTTAGAACAGTTCATTTAGTGACCGTTCAAAGTTACGGCAGCACTGAAAAACATGACTTTTGAGAGTCTTTCACAGTTACGACCTTTGCAGCATCCCCATGGTCACTGTGATCAAAATCCGGATGCTCGGCAACTGGTTCACATTTATGACCGTTGCTGTGTCCCATGGTCAAGGGACCCCCCTTTTGCGACCCTCCTGACAAGCAACGTCAACGGGGAAGCCAGGTTCACTTAACAACCGAGTTACTAACTCATCCACTGCAGTGATTCACTTAACAACGGTGGCAAGAAAGGCCATAAAATGGGGCAAAATTCACTTAACTGATCGTTTAACAACAGAAATATTGGGCTCAATTGTGATGGTAAGTCAATGACTAGCTGTATTCTGCATGAGCGTTGTGGTTTCTTGGCTAATGTCCCGATGCCGTTCGCTACGAAAATAAATGATTTACCCACCTGTCTCTCCGTCACAATTTCTAAACAGATCAATTCTTTTCTTCTTCTTCCTTCCAGCACCCGTTTTTAAAACTGGCCAAGCCACTGTCCAGCCTGACCCCCCTGATTATTGCCGCAAAGGAGGCTATAAAGAACAGTAGCCGCTAGTCTCTCGAATAGCACAGGCCCGTTCTTGTTTTGGCAGGACTGAACATCAGACCAACAAACGCTGTCACACTTTGGACTCTCCTGCGGCCCCGACGGGCAGGCGATGAGCGACATTGTCACTGTCAATGGGGGAAGGGAAGCGGGGAGTGACCTGTCCCGCTGCCCTAGAGGAGACACCACCCATCACATCTCTTCTTTCCACTCTTGAGAATCCCTTAACTTATTTCTAAGGTGAACGGAAGCCTTTGGAGAAGAAGCTAGATGGGAAGTTTCTTTTGCTACCTGGGGTGTTTCCAGGGGACCACGGCACTGCATGACTCAACTCAGCTGGGACAGTAGTGGTGACACACACCCCCACACTCCCAAAACAGCTCTCCTTTCCTTTTCTTTTCTTTCTCTTTCTTTTTTTTTATTTTTGGTTTGGCTTTCCGAAAGAGAAGAACGATCCTCTTTCTGCTTCACCTTACCGGGAAGAATCCGAACTGTTCACTAGCTCCCGGTCAGCTGGCTTTATCCTAAGAGGAGGAGAATCACAATGGAAGGCTTGCTTTATTTAACCAAAAAAGAAGGAGGAAAAGAAAAACCGTACTACCAGTGATGATGATGATGATGACGATGACAATAAACCGAGAAGTTGATCAATCGCAGCGTCCTCTTGTGGGGTGGGTGGGTTATCCTTTGGAACAGGGGAGACGGAGAGCATTGCAGTGCTGAGAGCCTAAAAGAGAACAATGTCGTTATGTTGATGATTTCACCTTGACGTCACGGTGATGACGTCACGGTGCATATTGGTGCTTTTGTGTCGATGAGGTTTTTTTTTTCCCCCTCCCTCAAATTAAAAAAAAAAAAAGTTGAAGTAGAGAAAGTAACCACGTGAGCTAAACTTTGGATGGAACGGCAGAACGGCTTTCATATCTGGCCAAGGTGCCTATCCTTTTCTCCAGAATCCTGAGCACTTCTATTTCTCCAGCAGTCCCTGGGGCTCTTTTCTCCAGAGCTGTTCCATTCCATAACCTGGAGGGTCAGACCCACTCCCTATTTATTTATTGTCTTAATTGTCCCGTGCTTAATCCAAATCCGTTGGAAGAAATGTCCTTTCAAATTGGAGAACTTGCAGCGAAGAAAGTCTCCTGGGACATCAGCCTAACTGAGTCCAGGTGAAAGCTAACTTCAAGCTCTGCATTGATTTTGATATGTGGAGTGGATTTCTCTCTCCTCCCCCCCATCATAATCTGAAAATAAGAATAAAAAAAACCCTCAACCCCTATAGCTGTGAATTTAAGTTTTCCACTCAAATGGGATTTGGGAAGGGGGTCCGTGCTGAGCCATCTGCCCAATTTCTGTGAGAACTGATGTGAGATGGGGCTTCCTGAGCCCTCTGCCCATGCTTGAGGAGCTCAGGAAGGAGAAAAGTTTGAAGAGGAGCATTGCCAGAGAAACGGTTCAGCCACAGAGAGCAAGAAAAACGCAGCAATACATAATCTGACGGGGTTATTTTACCTCTCCCTCCAAGCCTGTTTGAACTGTGACTTATCCTGCAAAGCATTGAATCTGGAATTTCTAAACTCCCTGTATTGCTGAAATCTAGCAATTACTGTGAATATCTGTTGATGAAGCAAATAGCTTTGATTAAACAAATTTGTGTTGATGTTTCTTCCAATCTGAGTAGGACATATCTGGTTCTTTTTTTTTTTCTTCTTCTTCTTCCCTAAACACGAGCAATTAAAAAATAAGTTGGTGTTGGTTTGCCAGCTATCTTAACTACCCTGTGTTTCTCTCCAAAGCATTGCAAGCATTTCTTGATAGTTCCTGCACGTCGGTCTGGTCTCAAGTAGTAGAACAGGCCAGGTTATCTTTTTCTTGGTCAGTTGGCCATCTTAGTTATTGCTGTACTTTAATCTGAGATAAAAATGTTGGATGGTCTGTACCTCAGGTATTAGACATGTTGAGTTTGGCATGAATGTAATGAGGGGGAAGGGCAGATCTCCCTAAAAAGGATCGGTGTGAAAGGAAGGTGGTGGACTTTCAAATGACAGATCAGTGGATCCATTATGGAAGCAGGATCCATGATCTCCTCTTGAAGTTCCAGTTGCACACTCCACATGTTAAACCCATTTAGGGGAACTGTAGCACTCTCTGATTTAAAAGTTGTCCATCCAATAGTTATGTTGAACATTGTCCTAGTTGGTGGCAGGTCACCCTGACTTGGTTTCCCCAAAGGCCTTGGGGCAGAAGTATCACGTGTTGGATGATAGCATTCTTTTCTTTTTGTGGATGTTGTTACAGATAATATGGAAAGAGCATGGAATTCGTTTCTGTTTGAAGTTTTGGTGGATATATCTAAATGGGCTTTTATTTGATTCAGCTACCGTGAAATCCAAGGGACCGTAAAGTCAAGATGCTTTCAAACCAAGCTGAACTTCAGATGACTGTATCTCTGCAGTTTCTCAATAGTCTTAAGGACCTGCTGTCTCCTGGTCTTCTTCTGTTTTTATGACTTTCAGTTTTGCCCAGCATTTCCCAATCTTAGCAAACTTAAGCTGTGTGGACTTCAACTCCCAGAATTCCTCAGCCAGCATGCTGGTTGTGGAATTCTGGGACTTGAAGTCCACCCAACTTAAAATTGCCATGGTTGAGAATTACTGGTCTAGCCTATAGCCAATCCAATTGGGAGATGGTCAGAGTTCTCCCTAATATCAATTTACAAATTGTAGCAATACAGGTATGTTTTATCAGTTGGTTATCACTGAGGTCTGAAACTCACATCAAACTCAAATTCTTAACAGGCTCTGTAATTTCCCAGATGAAATCTTTGCCTCCACCTACTTTTTCAGATGATTCCCTGATTTCTTCTTCTTGTGCCATATCCGTTATCGGACGTTGGCGATCATGTTGGCGATCCTGTTTTTATCAGCAGCCGCACGAAAAAGTGCTGCTGAGTTTTGTCCAAACCAGTCCCTTAGATTTTGAAGCCACGGTGATTTCTAGCTCCATCTTAACATTCAGGATTCTTTCATGACCAATCCCTCTAATTCAGCTATGACTGGGAGGGAGGATAATGAGTAAGATGGAGTACTGCATTCAGTTTTGGACACCACATTATAAGAAAGGTGTTGAGATTTTGGAAAGAGTGCAGAGAAGAGCAACAAAGATGATTAGGGGACTGGAGGCTAAAACATAGAACAGTTGCAGGAATTGGGTGTGTCTAATGTAATGAAAAGAAGGACTAGAGGCAACGTGATAGCAGTATTCCAATATCTAAAGGGCTGCCACAAGGAAGAGGGGGTCAACCTATTTTCCAAAGCACCAGAAGGCAAGACAAGAAACAATGGATGGAAACTAATCAAGAAGAGAGGCAAACCTAGAACTAAGGAGAAATTTCCTAATAGTGAGAACAATTAACTCATGGAATGTCTTGCCTCCAGAGGTCGTGGATGCTCCATCAGTGGAGATTTTTAAGAAGAGATTGGATAACTTCTGAAATGGTACAGGGACTTCTGCTTGAACAGGGAGTTGGACTAGAAGACCTCCAAGGTCCCTTCCGACTCTGTTATTCTGTTATTTCATGCTTCCTACCTCCCGTAGACAAACCGCTAGTTTCCCATCAACTCTCTCTAGTTGACGATGCTGCTAAATTGATTGATAATATCCTTTATGCATTTCTGTGCTTAGTAATGTCGTAGTTAATATGCAATAGCTTAAACATCTGGAGGATTACAATCCCCTCACGTAGCATTACTCTGATTTTTTTTTTAACCACAGAGACTCATCTATCACACATATTGCACACATGGTTCTGTTTGCTTTATTTCATTTCCCTTTATCTCATGTTTTTCTGTTCCATCCTTTTTTGTGTATCTGAATCATAATCGACGTAGAGCCGTGGAATCAACAGGTAGCACAACCGTGCTGCAAGTCCCATGGAGCCCACCCTTCAAATCTGCATGGACCCAAGCCCCAATTTTTAAGAAAGAGCCCTTAATTGTTATTCCTCTTAGAGAAACGCATTGAGTGATGGCTCCCAGCTTCATGCTTGAGGATATTTTTTAGATGGGGCCAATCTTGATGCAAGGAAGCCATGCAACTCTAAAATATAGTAGGACTTGTGCCCTGCTTTGAATATAAAGTAGTGTTTCCCAATCTTAACCATTTTGAGATGTATGGACTTCAAATCCCAGAACCACGGGCTTAATGATTGACACACTTACTGGTGGTAAATCCTAGTCATTAATAACCCCTATAGATCTGGAAGGTGCCTAATTGAGGAAGGTTGCCTTCCTTGAAAAACCTGTCACAATTAGGCCAACCTAGTACATGAGCATCTCTACACACTGAAGGAGGCTATTCCAGCTATGTCTTAGTTCTGCTACACTTAAACCCTGTCACAAATCCAGATCAACGTCTATGATCAGCACAACTCTATGCTGTTAAATAGAAATTAATGGCTGGATAATAGAAATGGATCCCCCTGCTCTTCTTATGGCTAAAAGATGAGTCCTTCAACACTGGGAAGATAAATTTATGGCTCCAATTACTCAGTGGACCTGCTGTCACTTATCATTTATGACCAACATGATGTAGATTTATGAATAGATGATTACAATGAAATACGGTTATCTCCAACAGTCTGCTCCTGTGTTCAATAGTTAAGGGACACAGGGCAGAAAACATCCTGCAGAAAGTACAACAAAATCCACCACAAACAAACAAACAAACAAATAAACAAAGCTTTAATGTTAGATTGGGAAGTTGAAAAACCATTTCATAAGCGGACAATGATAAACCACGTTGCTAGTAAAACTGCATGGATCAGTCCATGTAACGGTAAGTAATGAAAGATGATCTGAGAGTATCTTTCTCTAATTCTTATTTGGCAATTTGAATTTCATCAACCTTGTCTGGCAGTTCAGTTTGGAAACCCGATCAAGCCAAATCAATGTTCTGAATCTAATCAATAATTGGAATCAGATTAGGGCTGATTGGTATATTGTTAAGGATTCATTAGTTTTTCTATTCAAGTGCTTTGCTGATCTTTACTTTGGAGCAACGTTTTGAAAAACAGAAGGTTTTTCGTTGGGTCAAAAAACTGTCTGCACTTTAGGCTCTGCTTAGAGGCTTCTCAAGTCTATGTATCTTGACACGGGTACCACCATCATCAGCTCTAGGCATAAATCATGCAGTTCCTTCCTTTCTTATCTGCAGGAATTTTATCCTCCTGTGCTGAGCTGGATGTCTGCAGAGGCTCTACTAACAATGGCATCAAAAATGATTTGACATTCAGGATGTTGTACATTCTCTGTCACTCTAGTGCTTGAAGGCAAAGAAACTAGTATGGAAAATAGGA